TATATCTATTTTATGGCTTTATGCAATTGAAGACAGATATATAGCAAGTATATATGGACAGATCTTATCTATTTTTTTGTTCCAATTATATGAACTGAACTACATATTTGCTTTCTATTTAGTATTTGATTATTCTAATCAATTTTATACAGTTAATTCATTGACCAATACTTTGCATGCCTGAAGATGTATTCAAAACCTTGTCGTTAAACTTTGATCATAGCGTGCACTTACTCATAACTTTCAGCCGATTTCATGTACGAAATTGAATTATATTGGCAGAAGACTCTCAAAATCTTGACAACTGAAAAAGTGTGTTGCATGGGTCAATACAAAAGAAAACCGCTTCTCTTTAAACCCATTGTTTTTAATTCTTAATATATATTTTGACGAATAACCATTACTCGTTTGAAGGATCACACCCACCTACTATTTGTCAAGATTTTCCTACTTATATATGTAAATATCATTCTAATTTAAAGAATCATTTCGAGTCTAAATGTTAAATAATTAAATAAGTTCGTTAAAATTTGTTCCTTGCAACTTAAGACGGTTTTCCTTGAATTTAGTCACACACAGCGATGGGAAATCGAAGAAAATAAGAAGAAAAGTTTGTGTGTGTGTGTGTACATTTCTTTTTTTTCAGAAGAAAAGGGAAAGTCGGTCTCTCTGACCAAGTTAATATGTGGAGCTTCATGTTTGAACTTTAAGAGAGGAAACTAAATTCATAATGAAGTCGTAGCAAATCTTTGCTAAGATATTCAGCAATTCAATGCATGGTCCAGTCTCGTTGTTCAGACTCCATTCAATCTCATAATATTAAACCTACTATTGCATTGATTAACATCTTTGATTTATTCTAAGAAATTAAAATACTTTATAATTCTCTTTAAAAAAATTCCGAACATTTTCAGTGGGGCTGACGAGAAATTCTCTTAAAATATTTTGTGTTAGAGGGAAATTTATTATTATGTGCAGAGGATTTCAACTACTGCCATGACCCGATGGAGGCGAGTTCATAAAATTGGCAAGAAAATTCTTGAACATGAAGAATGAATTTCGTTCTCAAAAATTTAAGGGGAAGATAGCTGTAATATAGAAATGGTCATGCATTATATGTAAACCCTTGGAAATTAAAAATGATGTGTCCTTCACACGAATCAAAAGTCCAAATCACGTGCCTCAGCGTGACTAATTCATGTAATGTAATTTCTATATAAACCCTCGAGCCCTCACCCCTTTCACAGCACACACTTTCATTCGCATCGATCAATCTCAGTTAAGCCTTGAAACATTTTCTTCCTTCCTTATCTGGCTTCTTAGTTTCTTCAAACTATGGATTCCCATCAAAACCTGCCCCTGCTGGTTTCGAAAATCGGCATCGTAGGAGCTGGAGTTAGCGGCATTGCTGCTGCAAAACAGCTATCCCGCCATAACCCTATCGTGTTTGAAGCCTCAGACTCGATTGGAGGGGTTTGGAAGCACTGCTCCTATAACTCCACCAGGCTTCAGTCCCTCCGATCTGACTATGAGTTCACTGATTTCCCATGGCCTGATAGGGACAACTCAGAATTTCCCACCCATTTGGAGATACTGAATTACTTGAAATCTTATGCTGAGCACTTTGATGTGCTCAAGAACGTAAGGTTCAACTCTAAAGTGGTGGAAATTCGGTTTGTTGGTGGCTCCGGCGACCGTGATAACTCAGATATCATGGGGTTAATCGGTGGTGGTGACTATGGAAGCCTGCTTCCTGGTCAGCCTGTGTGGGAAGTTGCTGTTCAAACTAAGGAATCTGACATCATTCAGGTGCTTATAGCTTCTTCACTCTGCACCATTTTCTCTTTCCTTCTTTTCATTTTGGCATCATAATTAGCCAGTGAATGATGCCTCAAATATGAGATATTTAGTTATCAACTAAACCAAACTTCCTCTTTATTAGATCACCTCTTTTTAGATTGAAACTTGGGTTTTAATTTTAGACGGTACTCCAAGTCGTGGTATAAAATATGTCACCACTTTGATTGATATCATCTCTCATATCATCCCCTTCAAGTTACACCAATTCAATATGAATATCAAATTTAGAGTATAAACAATTATATATGACATCAAAAATTCCAACATCCTCGTACGTATGAGATAATTAAGACTAATCATGACTAGAGTCCTTCGTTTTTCAGTGGTACGGCTTCGAGTTTATAGTGTTGTGCAACGGAAAATACGGAGACGTGGCAAAGATCCCGAGTTTTCCAAGAAGCAAGGGGCCAGAACTATTTGAAGGACAGCTTCTTCACACACTCGATTACTGCAAACTTGATCGCGAAGCTGCCACTAAACTTCTCAAGGGAAAGAAGGTTGCAGTCGTCGGTTTCAAAAAGTCCGCCATCGATTTAGCCCTCGAATGTGCAGAGGCTAACCAAGGTAAACTATACTAATAGCTTTAATTTCTTATACTTTTCTCTTCTGAACTTTCATATAACATTCATATACAGCCAATTTTTTGATCTGAAACGCATGATGATTTGCTCGACCGCATAAAAAACTCGTGACGAATTTTAATTTCTCCGTGGTCCGAGCTACAGTTTAGTCTTACTTTCACATATTCGATGTTCAAAGGCACATATAATTTGTTTGACGAAGGTCAAAGCAATTGTGTGTGTCGTGCTTGTGGTAGGATTGGTTTTGATCCCCTTCTGCATCCTCTTTTCTCACTTTTCCTATTACGGCTTGCGACAAAAATTGCTTTCATATGCACTCCAACCAACATGTTTCAAGTTGCATGGTATGTGGCACCTAAATTAATGTACTCGTCGTTTTCTTCTTTTCTTTAATTTTTTTTCCTTCTTAAAATTAAATTGGTTAACACGGTTCAGATATTGTGTCTGCGGTCTACTTAATTAAACAGATACAATCAAAAAAGAATAATAATTATGCTTATTACATATCAAATAGCTTATTACATAGCAAATAGGTTATTAGTTGGGGCATATATGTACACGATTATTTGTTACTCATTATTATTAATTAGTTCAATTGTCCATTTAAAATGAACATAATTTACTTGGAGATTAATTACTTGAATAATGTAATAATGTATGATCATTGGTTTCTTCATGGTCTTTTGGATGTTAATAGCTGGGGTTACATATGGACTTTTCTATTTTCCAAGTCATAATTTGCATGGTTTGATTGCATATGAGAAGATGCATTGACTTGTTGACTCCAAAAACTTGCTTTCTTTCATTTATTTGGTATCATATTGGACTCCTTCACATAATTTAGAATTCCAAAAATCATATTTGACTTTGAAAATTATTATATAAGCCATATATATATGCATATGGATTAATTTATGAAAAAGGGTTTGACTGGGAGATTCCAATTTTCGATATCAACCACAGAAATGATATACTTAGAGAAGGAAAACATGATTATCTGAACAATTTAGATTTTAATTAATACTTTGATTTAATTAAAAATTCATATTCATTATGCATCGATCCTATTTATTAGTATTGCCTTTTGCCAATCAAAATAGATGATCAAGTTCGTAGGAATAAATGAATAGCCGAAATCCTCGGCAATTTCCCCCGCCCCACAATATTTGTTTATTTATTATTGTCAAGAAGCTTCACTAGAAATTCAAAAACCATATGGCTTTGACTAATTAAGTTTGCTCAATTTATGTGCTAGCCTCTCATACCGATTTCTTTTCTTGTACTAAAAGGAAAGCACGTTCTAAAATATCCAAGCAAATGACTTCGCTTTTTGCATGATGCTTTCATGAAATTCAACCTCAGATTTGATGGTGAATTTATTGGAGGAACTTTCCAATTAAAACCAATGGAATTGTCAACTCAATAAGTCATTCATATTGAATTGATCACGGTGCGAGATTTAATTTACGCATGTTGTTTTCGGAATTATGGTGGGGCATTAATATTATCTTCGCCCGCCACACGCATGTCAACACATTTATTAAGGGTTGTCAGAAGGTTCAATCCAAAAATAAAAGGAGTTGACATAAGGTTTGTATTTGAATTTCCAATGTTTTTATATTTGTCCATGTGTTTGCTTCGTAATTATTCATTTTACAACCTTCACTAATTAATTAAGCTGAATATATATTTCTAACGTGACTATAGCACTTTAAGTGATTCAAGTCATATTTAACGTAATAGCACTAATATAGTATCAACTTTAATTAAAGTAGCATCACTGATTAAAAAAACCAGCTGACTTTCTTTTTTCAAAATTGCCAAAAACGGAGACTAAAATGTACTAATAAAAGGCGCGCGTCTAAAGATTGTCACTACATCTGAACAATTGCTATCGTTGTTTTGTTGTTCATCATGTTCTTTCTGTTTATCAAATTTCAACATCATAACAATAGTTTTCTGCCGACTTGTTCTAGGACCTGAAGGGCAGCCCTGCACAATGGTGGTAAGGACTCTGCATTGGACGGTTCCTCATTACCGGATTTGGGGATTGCCTTTTTTCTTGTTCTATTCTACAAGAGCTTCTCAGTTCCTTCATGAAAGACCTAACCAAGGCTTCCTCAAAACCCTTCTCTGTCTCCTCTTGTCTCCCATGGTACGTAATTTAACATCATCCGGTTTCATAGTAACATAAGGATGATTCTGTCGAGAGCTTTTTCTGGCGGTGGGTATTTTCACCGCTAAAAGTATTTTGAGATTCTCACCATGATTCCGAAAGTTCCACCTCTATAAAATTGATGCTCTCTATGGAATTACCTATATAGCACATGATACGGATACAGCTCTAAAAAAATGTTGAAGCTAATGATTCACTGTTACCTAATGAACTTGAACAGAGGCGTGGGATTTCGAAATTCATTGAATCCTACATACTATGGAAGCTTCCTCTGGAGAAGTATGGACTAAAACCAGAGCACCCATTTGAGGAGGACTATGCATCATGTCAGATGGCTGTATTGCCAGATAAATTCTTCCCTGAAGCTGATAAGGGTAAGATTGTCTTTAAAAAAGCATCCAGGTGGTGGTTCTGGAATGGAGGAATTGAATTCGAAGACAACACTAAAGTGGAAGCTGATGTGGTGATTCTTGCCACTGGCTTTGATGGGAAGAAGAAGATTAAGACCATTTTGCCTGAGCCTTTTCGGAGCCTCTTGGAGTACCCTTCTGGAATTATGCCATTATACAGGTAAGAAGGGTGGTTTATACAGCAAACCTCTCTTAAGCTCAATACTTCAAAAGCTAGGTCACGTGTTTGACACCTGCTTGATACTCCTGTCGGACACAACACAGCACTTCCAATTGCATCTTGATATTCATGTCAACACAAGCTTTAGAATCTACAGAAAAAGAACTGAGAACTAATGTTTGAGTCAATCTCTTTGGCAGGGGAACTATTCATCCATTGATTCCAAACATGGCTTTTGTGGGTTACGTTGAAAGCGTTGCAAACCTTCGCTCATCCGAGCTACGTTCCATGTGGCTCTCTCAACTGGTAGACGATAAGTTCAAGCTTCCAAGCATTGAGAAGATGCTTTCATACACACTTCAGGAGATGGAAGTGATGAAGAGGTCTACCAGATTCTACAAAAGGCACTGCATTTCAACTTATAGCATCAAGCACAGCGATGAAATATGTGAAGACATGGGGTGGAGTTCTTGGAGGAAGATGAGCTGGATATCAGAAGTACTCGGCCTTTATGGCAGTGGAGACTACAAGAAGGAGAACTGAAAAAATTATACTTGGGGATGCGTTAGCAGTACTAGGAGGATAAGATAAATAATGTGTTGTGCGTAGTAATGAGGGGCAGGAAAGAAGAAGGTCGTTCAGCCACTACTCCTGATCATCTTCCAGGAATCTAATGTAGTTATAAAATCTTCAACTTATATCAATGTACGATGAACCTTGCAATTTCAAGTATCAAAATCCACCGAGAAATACACTATAAGTGAACTTACTTTCTTATCTAAAGCAAAAATCATGATAGTACAAGAAGCATCTTTTCATCTCCCTATGAACAAACAGTCCAGAATATCAGCTATAACTATTATAGTTACATGGCGAGTACATTACAGTTTGTAGTTGCGTACTTGGCTAGCTCTGAGACAGGCTGAGCAAGACAAGAACCAAAAAAAAAAAAAAAATGGAAGCCTCAAATGCTCTGAAGTAGTTTCAAAGTCTCGTCAATATGCTTTTCTGGTTGGAACTGGTTGTTGTAGATGAGCTGAACCACCCCATTTTTGTCAAGGACGTAGGTTTCTCTCCCAGGCAATGCTCCAAAGAAATCGCCCTTCACTCCCCACTCTTTCCTCACCTTGTTACCCTGGTCACTCAGTAAAGTAAACGGAAGTCTGTACTTCTTTGCAAAAGCCTAGAAATTCCACACGACGTGTTCAGCATAAAAATCAGTTGGATTGGATGCCAACTAAGGTAACGAAATTTTTGAACTTTACCTTGTGAGAGGAGGAATCATCACCACTAATCCCGATAACCTCAGCACCTGCTTTTTAAATTTCTCATAAGAATCCCTGAAAGCACAAGCCTGCATTGCAAGGAAGTCCAGCAGCTAAACTGAATTAGAAGAACAACATTGTGAAGCACCATAAGTGTATGAATCTAGATTTCACTATTAGCGGGTAATAATCATGTCATAGTTCTTCCTTTTCCAGCAACAAGGAGCTTGTCCCTTTCGAACAACTATCTTCTGGGAACGGCTTTGCTGATATGATCTTGAGTACTAAACTTTATTAGCGGACAGCTTGTTATTTCTGCGTGCCTTTTATTTTCTATACAACATGGGTAAATAGTGGAAGTTGAGAGCATTACAACACTTTTTTTTTTCCCTCAAATAATTGGATGCTAATTTTGTTGGAAAGATGAAGAAGGATTTTTCTACATGAAGAGGAAATTTTTGACAGTCGCTATTTTATCCTTTCTCGGGTCTTCAATGAGACGCAAGTATGCACAGACGCACAAGGCTACTCTACAAATCTTATTCCAAGAATATTCAAGACTGTATACGTGAGTAATCGTATTCCACACATTCTAGAAACGCACACAAGCATTGAACTTGAGCTTATAGAATGCGTCAAACTACTGATTCAAACGAATTATATGTTTTCCTGGAATAAATATGATTGCAGGACCGTCATTGTGATGCTCATAAGAAGAAAATGAAAAAACATACATTTGTACTTTCCACTCTAAATTGGCATCTCCAGCGCCCGGACAAGAGCAAAGACAAGCTACATTGGATGAAGGAATGAAGAACGTTGGAAAAGTTGGACGTTTACCTGTTTGGTACAGCCAGGGGTCTCATCAGCAGGGTAGAAATAGACAACCACGGGCTTTCCTTTGAATTTGTTGAGGCTTACAGGTTTCCCATCCTGATCCTTCAGAGTGAACGGAGGTGGCTTCGAACCTTTACTCACCTGTCAACGAATTTAAACACAACACAAACACAAAACAAGCAGACTTGTGGGTTCTAATCAATTAGAAGAAACACCACTGAAAGAGGCAGGCAGGCTTGTTTATGAAAAAATGTACCTTAGCAAAAATGGAACCTCTCATGGATGAGTAAGAAGCAGGAGGAGGGATTGACAGAGTGGAGGAATGAGATAATTTAAGGCCACAAAACTGAGAATTGGAGGATCTGGGGAGACAAGGGAGGCTTTGAGAAGATGAATGTGCGGGAATTTCAGTGTGAAGCAAGGTGGGAAGAGAGTGCTTGGGAACAGAGAGGGAAGCCATGAGTGAGATTGACAGTGAGATCTCTCAGAAGAAGGCTTTGGCGTTGAGAATGGGAGAGGGATAAGAAGGGGTCACAGCTTATTGGAGAGAGAGAGGAAGGATGTGATGAGATTGGCTTTCTGGCGTGGACGATTGCTGGCCCCAACCTCTATTCTGATTCGGCATTTACTTACAAAGCTATTAGCTACCTCAACAACAACCTCTACTCACTTCAAAATTTAGCCCACCGTTGAACATGCGAGGGACATCCTAGGCATTGGCTCGAAAGATATATTCTTTGAACCGAGATATATTGGATTTTATTTATACTTATTGCCCTATATTTTCCTAAAAAATTTGTAAATACCATCAATCAATCAATTATATTCTTGAAAACTTGTAATATCTGATTTCCTTAAAACGGTCGGATGATATTATAAGATCCGAATATATTCAATTAATAATAAAATCTGAATAATATTTTGATGGGGATTTGGGTATATTGAATTAAACGAGGAGCATCATTATTAAATGAGATTTTAATAGAGACTCAAATGAAGAAATTAATAATTAATTTTAAATTTTAATAATATCTTAATTGAAATTTGAATATATTAAATTAAATGAAAAGTATCACAAAATAATATGTCAATTGGGGTTTAAATGAAAAGATAAATAAATAAATTTAAATTTTTATACGTTTCCTCTAAATTCTACATCTTCAATTCAAATACAATATGAAGGAATAAAGAAAAACACACTTCTATAAAAAAAAAAAAAAAAGCTTGAGCTATCTTAAATAATACAATTTATTAGAATTTAAAATTTAATCAAATATTTTAGTCCGTAAAATGCACGGGAAAGAAATTTCTAGTTTAATATTAAATGTTCAACAAATTCTCACTCTATTGATTTAAGAAAATTACAGGGTGAATGAGAAATGAATTCATACGTACAGTAGTATTATCATCCTTTAGCAGTTTTGTCAAAGAAAAAAAAAAGAGTGCCATCTGGAGGAGAAATAGATTAGCTGTTTGATTTGTTTTGATTCTCGAATAGAATTCGTTTAAATAAGCGTTGATTAAATAATTTAATATGTATTATTTGATGATTAATACCACAGGTTGTTGGCAGGGGGGAAAAAAATAACACAGGCTAATCATATTATGTATAAAATGTTCTTAGCACTTGGTCTATTATTGAAATAAAATCGGTTTTTGGGCCTGCTATTTGACGAGGGTTTGTTATTTCTGGGTAGATTCACAAATTAGTCTGAGAATCTTCACCAAAGCCCCCAAAATCGAATTGGACGCATGGAAGGTTTACGTAATGTTGTTCGTAGAAGTTCGGGCGAGAGATCTTCTTCGGTGCTCTCCCCTGTGGAAAGCTTAAATGCGAATGGCGGAGGAGCTGGACAGAGTGTTGCTGTTTCCTCTTCTTCATCGCCTTCTTCCCTTGCTCTGGCTACTAGACCTCCCAGGTTTGCCCTACCATTTCTTTCTGGTTCTTGGCTTTCCTAGTCTTGTGTTTTCCCCTTTTGATCTTTTATATGGTGGCAATTTAGAGTTGGACTTTTCTGATTTCTCCCAAGTCTGAACATCTGTTGTTTAAGGCTGATATGGATTATAGCTGAACATTGCGAAAATCTGACATTTTTGTTCTGGTACTGAAAGTGAAATGATTCTATTACTCAACCAACACACGGAAGAGATGAGAATTAACTGATGATTTTAAAGATGTTGGGAGGGTCAAATTTTTGTAAACTAATGAATTAGTGATTGAACCGAACGGAATCCTCTCTCCTCATTTAGTATGAATTATTCATAATTTATACTCTGACGAGTGACGATTAAACTTGAAAGTCTGGGTAACACATTACCTTAAAAAAAAAATAATTTTTTTCTGGCAAAAAAAATAACTTTTTTAATTGTTCTTTATTGTAAATAATCTAGTATCATTCCCTGATAGCCATCGACGAACAGATTGTGTAAATATAGGTCAATGTTGATCTTGTGGCAATTATAGTGGATGTTCGCACTCGTCTAGTTTCGCTTCTTTTTTCAAGGCATAAAAGAGCTCTTTTATGATGGTGAAGATTTTCCTTTGAACTCTGAAGTGATGCTTTATCTGTTGTATTGGGAGTTTCTGTGTTATGTGCTGTTGATTAGCTTCAATTTTCTTTTAAGTTGGTAAGGTCGTAAAGATGTAAGGAAAACCCTTAACTATAGTTGCTACATGCATTGGTGGATTTTAGGTCAGTGTCTGGCTTCTAATTTTGAGATTGTTTTATATTATTTGGCAGACAATTTGTATCTTGGTTGACATGCTCAAAACTTTGTGCAATTTGCTTTGTTGCTGGAGTAGTTTTTGGCTACACACTAAAGCGACGCGTTAGGCACTGGGCTTCCAAACTTCTTAAGTACCTGAAAGAGTAGTTTTGCTTCATTACTTTACTAATTCGGTAAGACTTCAATTTCATTTAAATTTTAGTTGAAGAAACATCATTTTCACCTCATAATTGGTGGAATTACTTGTACTCCCTGATGACATTTTATGGATTTTGAGAAGAGTACAGCATTGGCCTTTACTTACAGAATTACTTGCTAAAATTGTGGAAGTTGTTTTGGTTCAGCTTATCCTTTTACAATATATTTTAGTACCATATCTCAACTGTATTTGCTGTATTGTTCTAATGTTTTTCACTTGCAATGGGCCAGTACATTTTCAGTTTTCTATTGAATGTGAGACACTTCTCTACCACTGCCCAAGATCCGGTTTAATGAACCTTCAGTTATAATTTGTAAGAGGTTCACTCTAAGCAGTACATGGATGGAAAAGGTCACCTAAAGAAATTGAATCATGATTCCCAAATTCAGCAACTATTTTCCACTCTTCTAATGTTTAATTTTCTTAACTTCATTTTATATCCAGATTCAATGCAGATTTGACCAAATAGAAGGGATGGTTATTGTGCTGGGGATATGATATCTTGCTTTTAGTCTCTGAGATTGTCCAAGAAGCATAGAAAATCAGTTCATTAGCCTTGGTAATTAGGTTTAAACTGCTTCTTATTCCCGTAAAGGCCTATAGAAAGCATACTGAATGGTGTGTTTTCTTGAAGCAGATTATTTTTTCACTCAGAATTGTGTGTGCACTAAGCATGTTTACTCATTACTGGAGATTTTGCGGGTTGCAAAACATGTTAAAATGGTATTTTCATTGTAGTGAAACATGTATAATTCTTCTTGTTCATTTGATTTTGTATTGTGAAGAATATGTATAGCAAATAGTATAATTACATCTTCCTGCCCTGCTAATAACCTAAATGTTTATTAATTTTCTTTTTGAAATATAAAATTGATGACTCCTGAAGAATAAAAAATTGTAGAGGCTGGAATTTAAATATCAATTTGTCATGTCAGAAGTACTCCTTATGAAAATCAAAGCGTGTAGTCGTCTTGTGGCTCAGCTCATGTGACAGCTTCTTTAGTTCCTTTGCCAACAACGGCGTCCCGCAGTAGAATACCCCTGCAAATTTTATGCACCATTTTTTGGTCAAACTTTCATTGTCTGATAAACATTTTATATCCTATGGCCCCCCAGACAAACCTACCCTTTTCTGTCATTTTGCCCATGCTTCATATGTGAGGAGGGTTGGTTTGCTTGTTAGATACAGTTTGTTGCTATTTTAAAAATCTTTAAACTATTACTATAAGAACTGTATTTTGAATGTAGTCTGAAATTATCAGAGACAGGTTGTATTTTTGTAACCTCTATTTACAGCCAACTATGACAAATTGTAGATGCGCATAAATCCCTAAAGAATTGTTTGAAATAATTTTGTTTTCATTGGAACAAACTGACCCTTCTTCTCTTATTTGGCTTGAAAGCTAGTGTAAATAAGTTGCTCTTACATCTAATTTGCTTCTGCATCAGCCACTATAAGACCAACTCTCTTCTTTTAAAATAAATTAACTTATCTCTAGGATTGTAATTATGGTAATTGTGTTTTGCTTGAGCCACAGGAGTCTTGATCCAATCTCCTTCAGGCGAAGCCTAGGTTTATATGGCCCATGTGGCTTATTTGTGAGTGAAAATCACTGGAGGAAAGAAATAGAGAAGAAATTGAATCTCCATTACGATAAATGATGCTGCATTTTGTGGCAAGAAATTTACCTACTGTAGAATATGGATGTCTAGAGGCTATCCTGGTGAAAACATCTTTCCAATTTGGCCTTGCAAAGTGGGTCCTTACCTGCGATAGGGGAAAAAAAGTGTTTACTCATTTGATAGTTAAAGTTTGTCGTGTAATAAACATGTCAGAAATGATGGATTAAGGAGCTATAAGAGTGAGTTAGGAAATAGCCATTAGAATTATTGCTGCCTATAAGTAAATGTATCTACCTGCTTGTATATCAGATTATGTGTGAATAATACAGTTGCACTATTCAGTCTCTAATTCCTCTATTTTCTTCTTTCAAATCCTTCTCTTCTTCCTTCAACTCTCTCCCTCTCTTCCCTCTTTCTCTCTACCCTCCGAATTAAAAATATTCATCATTTTCCATGCTATAAACCAAAGTTTTGGCTACGGAGAATCTTACTTGAGTGCCTGATAGGATGTCAACACCATGTTTGGCATGGTTGAGAGCTTGGACCATTGTGATTAAGGTTGACCTTGCATCCCCTTCTTCATATACACTCGTGAGATAGTTGTGTAGCTCAATTTGGTCCTGAATCATGGTACATTTATAGTGAATAATCTGCTTTGCGATAGTAAACCCGTTTTTCCCCCCTCTCAGTAATGATAATGGTAGAATAACAGTTATACATGAGGTGGAGATACATCAAGAAATAATATTTATTACTTTCAGATCCAATTCTGCAACTTCGTTCATCACTCCTTTAAACCATTCAAAGGACTCCGCTTCCCTGGTAACCCAGTAGAAATAAGCATTTGTAGTCTTGTGTGTTCTCTTATTTCCACCTGACATAAAATTTGACGATGTAAAGCTATTGTAGCTCTCATCTGATGTGGTAGTTTCTGTGTTTGACTCCTACGTTCAGCTTATCAAAATCAGTTTCTGAAAGGATTAAGAATAAAAGAAAATACCAACTCTATAAGAAGGCGTTTCGGTCAATAATTTTACCATTTGATCTTCAATTATTCTTGTGTCATTTAGAAGATCCTTGAGAATGCTTATGAAAGGAGTTGCTCCGATACCCAAGCCTATGAGAAGCAGGACATCGTAACTCTGGTAATCTTGTGCAGGAGCTCCATAGGGGCCATCAACAAGCAGTTTCGGCTGTCTGCGTGTTAAAACTCAAAAATATAGTTTTGATAATCCATAGTTTTCGGGCATGCACTAGTATACATAATCGAATCGATAATTACCCCCTGTGATCCATTGGCTTTAGGTGACCAAAATTGGCTTGTCCATTAGATGATGGTAATGTATCATCGTCAGTGAACAATAGCTTCAATTCTTGAGTCCAGTCTCCTACTGTACGAATGTGAACGCTCAGGTAATCGTCTCCTGGTGCTGAAGTAATGGAGAACGGGTGCCTAAAAAAGTAAGACTAATGGTTATTTATTCATGACAATTGAGTAATAGACCTGCGAACCAGAATCAGACTCACCACTCAAACGGGGAGATTCTTGGGCACTTCAAAAATAAGTACTGTCCGCTTTTGTACGTAAATCCATTTGGCTTAGACATGATTAAACTGAAGACATTTCCTGGTAGCATCGAAAGCTGCAGAGGTTTGGGTAGAACATTATGTCGTGGTAAAATGTGTTTACTTGAGTTATTTCAACCATTTTCTCAGATGAAATACAATAAATTTAGATGAAATTTGGTAAGGACGATTGAAGATTTCCCTCATTCTTAAGAAATTACCCAAATTTTTAAGAGGATCCACTCTAATCACAACCCTCGACATCATTCTCCTAGTAAATTACTAACTTTAGCCAACCCAAATGATTAGCCCGAAGCTTAACGTAGCCAAAAAGTCAGTAAACCGAAATTGAGTGCATTACCTTTAGTATTTTAACGGAGTAATGTTTTGATCTGCAAGTTCGTAGAGTCCGTTCGGCTGTGTACAGTAACATGGGGACACAGATGTACATCCAAGCCTGAAAGCATCTGAAGTGTTCTCAGTTCTATCTAAGCCACTATTACTGGTAAAATATACGTATTTGACAGGTTCATGTAGATCACAAATTAGTTCTTACCGATTTCTGATGCCACTTGTGGGTTAAGTACAAGCAACTTCCATGGATGAACAGCAGGACATAGACAAGACAAAGAAGGTGGTGTGAATACCAGAATGCATTAAAGCCTGTCAATTTGTTGAATGGTGGGGATAGCCTAACTACATTTCTTCGGAAATAGTGGGTTGCTAGGGTAAAAGAGATTATCATTAAAACAGTCATTGAAATTCCTGTCACACCTTCGACGCCGGTCAAGAGTGTTTTATAAGTGGGCTTCTTGTTATGAAAGTCTGAAGATATCAGAGCAAATTTCTCTGGGGATGAGTTTATGAGAGAGGGAAAATCGCAGGCCAGATGATTGCCTGCATGAACGGCGACTCCAATAGCTATGGCACACGCAATCATCTGTAAAACAAGAGTATAACAGAGCATGTCAAGACCAAAATTGAAGGAAAGCTGCTATGATGTGAACTGTAGTTACTGTTAGATTTTTCAGATATAGGCATATGTTGGGGTTGTCTTTCTATCAAATTGATTTAAATCATTTTTATTCTATTATTCCTCCAACTATTTTTCCCCCCTTCATCTTACATACCTTGTGGAAGTTAATGTTGTCATCGAAGGGAACAAATGATCTGGCTCTTGTGGAACGAAGCCAAGTCAAAGTGTTACGACAAACTGGTAAGAGGATGAGAGCCATATTGAGCTTAAGGGTCTCAGCAGCACCTTTGGCAATGGGTAAGCAGTAACCAGTGACCTGAAAAGCTGCTTTGTTTCTGTACTGATAGAATTTCCAGGTAAAAAGAAAAGCAATGGAAGCTAACCACAGCAACAAGATCCAACCCCTCTGCCAGTGCTCTGTTACTAGACAGACCAGTGTCCTGAATATCCTTTGGACCACATTTTTGTGCCTTAAACTGCTCAGATTCTGACTCCATTTCATACTTGGGTTGTTCAGTTGTCTGCTACATTTCATGTAGTTATCTTTTTGTAGGAGCAACATTTCTAACTGCCACAGCTGAACAAACAAAGACAAAAATTCATAATCCAACCCCAACCTCTATCTGGTTCTTCTCATTAATTTTTCCCTGTCTTACCTCAATGTAACCCAAATTCTCTGGGTCTAGCTCCTCCATTATTAAAGCTGCGTATCCTTCGGCTTGGTCTTTTAGTTTCGATAGTTTGTTTGCTGAAGCACTGAGCATTAGGAGCTGCCAATAAAGATCATGACGTTAATCAGCTTACGGGTCGCATCGCTTTTTCAGTTAATGTAACATGACATCCATATCACCCCTTATTCATAAATGTAGGCGCGCTGGCGCATATCCTTCACACGTGTTTCCTTAGTCGACTCAGAATTGTTTTCTAACAAATCGAATTAAATTCTGCATTTTATGTAATGAATGTAATATGCATCTTGCATATAACTTTTCAAATTAAATATTTTATTTTTTAATAAGCTCATTTTAAGGGAAAGATTTTTTATGAGAAAAGAAACATTTTATTTAATTAATAATATCTCTAAAGAAATAAAAATAAAATTTCCCAAACCTTGGATCTGGCTTCCAGTCTGTCTATTTCATTGAGCTTAGCAGACTGACTTCCAGTCTGTCTATTTATTAAGCAAAGAATCTATCAACAATAAAAAAATAAATACATTGTATTGGAAGTCAAGATATATTTAAATATTTTTTTAAATTCATAACCAATGTAGAATTAATTTTGCTATGCGTCAATGTAAAAGGAAAACTTCGAAGAAACATATTAAGTATTACGAAAGCTATGTACTTATTTTTTTATGTAAAACTCAGCACCAACAAAGTTTCTTTTTTTCCTCTGCTAAAAAAATATATAGTTTTTTTTTATCATTTCGATTTCATATCTTACCTCTTGCACCTCCTCCCTAGTAATCTTTCCATCTTCGTTGCTGTCTGCCCTGAAATAAATAAATTAATAAAAGCTAATTACTTAAAAATTAAATATGAAAAAAAAAATCCTCCTCTTTCCGATGGGGATCAACTCAATCGTAGCCGGCAGCAAATAGGATTAAATAATAAAAATATTGACATTACTTTCAATTGGTTGGAACTTGGAAGTTTTATGCGGGAAGGTACATTGCAACGACATAAGTCACATTGCGGATGGAACGGGGCTGTCTGAATTTTTTTAAGACTCAAGCTATGGTTGAAAATTTTTTAATTTGTAAAGGGAAATTTGTCATTTAATTAATATCAATCAATATTCAATATAAATAAAATATAAAATCTAAGGAACCCCACTATTCATAAACGCTACTAAACAATACAACGAAACTTCGTATACAACTATGTTTTATTAATTTGTTCATTAATCTATAGCCACATATTTCGTTAGGCTTCTTACAACTTTGTTTTTATTCATTAGATTTGTTTTTGTATTTTCATAGTCCTCAATGTTTTCAATATGGTTTAAGTACTTTAAAATAATACTATTTTAGACTTAAATATAAAACTCATTTTGTAATATAATTTATACTACAAAGTGAGTTTTATATTTAGGATTGGAGGGTATAGTCTTTAATTTAAAAACAGATTCACATTATCTAATGAAAAAAAATATTTTGTTCTATATATATACATAAATCTGAAACCGATCTTGGAAAAAAATCGTTAAACATATCCATATAACAAAAATCCTAAAACTTACCGCCTGTGCTAATTAAGTATACAAAAAGTGATCCACAATTCCACATTATATCTGAATACTTAAATAGAATAAAATAAAAATGGAGAACCCGGGCGCGAATTAAAGAGCCAAATTTATTAAACTATGGGTCGTTGGCCAAGGAACATGAACTTCCCATGAAAGAACCAACTTACATGTCGAAGAATATCTGAAGACGGGCGTCAAAACTCTGGTCCGTAATCTGCAACCAGAACTCGTACAGCTCTTCTTTGCTTATTTTCGTCACTTTCTGCTTCTTTCTCCTCGCCAATGCATCAAATATCCCTACCGCGAATTCCTTGGAATCCTGCATCCCTTTTACAAAATTTCAAACACGTACAAATCGAATCAGCAACCCCTGGCTGCTTCATCCAAATACACTTTCTGGGCGCCCAAACAAATTTGCAAGTTGCAGCTAATGATATACAAACATACCCACGCATTCGCCAAAGTCTTCTCTTGCAAGCAAGCCGTTCTTAGCAAGCAACGCGAACCTTTCCTCTACTTTTCTCCATAGCTCATTGGCGTCGGTGGCTCCGGCGGTCTCATTGATAAATCTGAGGCCCTCAAGAGCTGTCCTCGCACTCGATCTCGTCCGTTCAAGTTTGGCCTTCATTCTTCGGGCATTTCGAGCGGTTATGGCAGGATCTTCGACGACAGAAGCAGAAGACGACGACGATCTCGGCCAGGATAACATCCTCCGGAAACTGGACGCGGCGGAGAGAATCCGGCCAATAGCGGGCGAGGGAGGTTCATCGGCGGGACTGACATTGCAGAGCACAACGGAGTGATCTTCAAGCTCCAGTGAGACTTCCACCGATTCTTTCCCGTAGGGATGCGGCGCCTGATCATTTCCTTGCGGGATGAGATCTGGCGGCGATTCCAATTCGCGACTAGGATGAGCTTTGTCGGAGCTGCTGCTTGCAAACGACGACGTTCTCATGGGATCGTAGCAATGCGGTATGGTTGGGGTTCTGAGGGGATTAAGCGAAGAAGAGAGGTAGCTAGGAGAGGTTATGCTTAGGTGATGATGGACATTGGAAATAATGGCTTACAGAGGCAAAGGAGGGAGGGTAGGAAATATAAAGAGAAGGAAGTGCAAAACAAGACAAACGCCTCCCAACCAATTTAACCACGCCAACGAGCCTTTGTAGGTAGGAATAGGAATGAATTTCTATATTTCCCTCAAATTCTTCAATTTACTTGTATGTACCTCTAACTAAAGTAGCTAGCTAGGTGTGGAATTTAATTACCATTCACTTTATTAGCCAAAAGAAACTCTTAACTTGAAAACTCTTCGCATCTGCCAAACATTACTATAATATAATCTCATCCTGTATAGTATATAATTATATGATAATGGGATATGTATAATATTGTTATTTTGCTATTATGATTATTAATCTTTTTAATCAAGTATTGTCAAATAGACAAGCCATTTGAAAGTCGTAACAGGCGATAAGCATTGATTTTGTGGCACCTAAAGGTTATTAATTAGCCATTCAGGCTTGCATTTGTTAACCATTTATTTATTTGCGGGAGGCTGAAAAATATTAGCTGCCTACTATTCTCTCCTGGCTAGGGTTAAAATTCCAGCAGTGTATCGTGGAAGAGCACACCTTTCTCATTGCCGAACCAACCCTTTAATTTTCTTTTCTTTTTTATTTACTCTTTTCAATACTTATTTCATGCAATCTTAGCATCGATCGAGTGGGTTGTGTATGTCACCACATTCTAACATATTCTAATACACGTGTGTGTGTGTGTGTGTTTTCTCATGTTCAAATGCCATTTTCAAAATCGATATTGAATTAATATAGACGATATAATAAAATATACCCTAGGAAGCATTAGTTCAAGACATAGCATTTTTCAATTTATCCAAATGTCACCTTTATGATAAAAGTTTATTTAGTATACTCGAGCACCCTTCCGTAGAGATTGACTTAAAAATATACAAGAGTCAAATTAATTCTTAATTCCCAAAATCATATTGATGAGTGTAGATAAATTTTCAATTTCTCTCATACATAAAGCACATTAAAATGTGGCTTTTAATTGCTCTTCAAATTATTATTACAACAACAACAAAAAAGAAAATTAAAAGAGCAATTATAAAATGCAAGAAAACACGGAGTAGTTTAATTATAATAATGGGGTGAATGCATGAATGAATAATATTTGTCTGTATCTACGTAAAACAGGTCCAAGTGTAGCAACGTTAGGTGAATAAGACACATCTAATTAAATGGACTGGTCAATCTAAATTAGGAGGAATTAGCTGCACCACATTTTTGGTTCCCAAATATTATTTTAACCTAAAGATTTAATCAGGATCATATATTCCATATTTTTTGGGGCGTAATCAATATATATATATATATATGTTCCATATTTAATCATAAACCATAAATAAATATATATATTCAACGCTCAGTCACTATCGTTTTAGATTTGAGTCACACTTGTTCATGTTGTATACTACCTCCGATCCTTAATATAAGACCCTGTTTGACTTAACTTGAAAGGTGATATATGTTTCTTTACTTCTCCCAATATGCTGACACGTATACAGTGATATATAGTGACGTTATGATAAAGATAAATTTGATAGACACGAATGCTTTGAAAAACCAATGAAGGTGAAGTGAAGGTCCGGATAAAATAGCAGCTAGTCCGGATTAGTGAAGTTAGGAAAGAAAGTTCAACAAAAGGGAACAATTCATATATACATATATAGAGATGATAATTAATTAATGAACCAAACATATTAAGTCAATGTTTGAATAAAGTAGCTAATTAATAAAGTTGTGCAAATGGAACGTTATTGGCCATAGCCTCCTCATCCTATAAAATATATGTATATAAAGTGAACATTATCATAATGTTTGGAATAAACTTTTAATTTCTTTTACTATCTTAAAAAACATGTATGTAAACAGAATTATTTATATACACACACAGGCATGTCTGTATATACTTATAAAGTAGGTTTGTACATGATTTGGATAACTTCTTCAAAATAAGAATTGTAATTAAGTTTGTGAGAGAATTCAACTAGTTTACGCCTATTTATTATATGCATATAATTTTTCAACAAACAACATATGTTGTTGATGTTATTACAAAAATATTTAACTGGCATTTTTCAATTTTAATGTGATAATGTGTAATTATTATACGTTTGTGAGATAATCTTAATTTTTTCTGCATAGCTTATTGCATGGACATGTTACTTATTCCTCTAATAATTTAGATAAAAATGCAAAGAATAGATTTTAAGAGGCATATCAAGTTAATTATTTCATATTGTTAGAAAAAATAATATATTTTTCCCAACAACTGCAAAAATAACAATTTATATTTGTATTTATTAAATAAAAAAAACTTAGGACAGACATATAACCGTGTGTTTTTGAAAAACTTGATATAATAAACATAAGGAACTTGATATAAGTATAACCGTTTATTACACCGTTTTTTTTCTAAATCAACTAATTTAATTTTTTTGCAATAAAAAACTTTTATTTAATCACGCATGCATGTTGATTGCTTCCAACAGGCAAATATTTCATAACTTTCAACAATAAAAGAAAACATCTGTCAGTTCTGTATTACCGAGACGACGCAATGATGTGAAAAAGAACCTGCACATGTGATCGAGCGCGTTCCTAGGCCCAGCTTTTAGAATTATGAGTGCAAAAAGAACATGCATGGAAAAGAAAATTTGAACATCTTACTGAATTAATTTCTTATCCATGTTTACGTGCATCTATGGATTTCTTTCAAAATAATTGATGATTTGGGTTGTTAATTCATTATTAATCCATTAGGTATAGATACAAATGGATTAGCCATCGCCTACTTGAGCAATTCGAACAAGCATGTAATAAATTTAGATTCTCCATATTTCTTGAAGAAATTGACTATGTTAACTTTGAGAAAATGACACATAATCGACCATCGTATGTTGTCTGCACGTGTATACACACCAAACTTTTATACTACCTCCGGTCCTTAATATAAGACCCCATTTGACTTTTAGTTTGGTCCTAATTATAAGACTCCAATCCATTTTGTCTCTCATATTTATATATTTTTTTTCAAGATAGTCCTTCTAATGATGATAGTTCTAGCCAATACACTTAATTAGCAAGGATATTTTAGGAATGACAACACATATTTATTACAAATAACTAACTTAACTTACTTCCTTAATCTCCTCAAATTAGTCAACTAGGTCTTATAATTAGGATCGGAGGTAGTATTTTACTTCGCACTAACTTAGAGATGAAATATATAAAAACTAATTAATTCGGGAGAATTACAATTTATATAATAGGGATAATAGTTGTAGTGCTTGTGTCCTCCACTTTCCAAGTAATTAGTTATATAGGATCAATCATTAACGAATTAATCATTTACACTTATAAGTGCACTCCTTAATCTCTTTAAGAGTTTACAAGAAATTCTGGCGTCTTGTCAAAGTACAATTAATTTCTCTGCTCATGTTGCGTGAGGATCACAAAACTCTTGAGCTGGTTTTGCAATCAAGTAATTGCAAGATCTATGCCCCTGGTGAGAATCTATTGCACGAAATTAAAATGTTTACTTCAAAAGAAAAATAAAAAATGTAATAGATGAAATTAAACCTGTAAAATCATGTTTTTATATCGCTTGATAAAGATGCTCAACGGCTAACATATCTGAATTTACATGTCATATAAAATCGTCGAATTATTTATTAATTATAGAAAACGTGACTTGTTCTTTAAATTTCATGCAAGTGTACAAAATTCACACACGTTATTTAATTGATTGAATCATTCATAACTTGGAACGACGGTGATGCTTGTTTATAGTTACAAATTATACTCTGGAGTTTTAAAATTTTATCATTCAATTTTAAATTGTTTGGTGAAATATTTTATTAGTTGGAAGTGCATGTATTTATAGATAATATTTGAATTGAATAAAAAAATCAAAGTTATGATATTTTATATGGAAAATAAAATATTACTCTATCTAAAGTTGGCAACTCAAGTAAGTGGTGCAATTTATGACTAGTGCAGAATCTTACCATATATTTTAAAGAATATATGCTAGATGAACACTAATATAGAACATAAAATTTATATTAGGGTGCATTATTCATAATACTACCTCCAATCCTAATTATAAGAGCTAGTTAACTAATTTGAAGAGATTAAGAAAGTAAGTTGAGTTAGTTATTTGTCCTAAATAGGTGTTGTCTTTCCTAAAATATCCTTACTAATCAAGTGTATTGATTAGAACTATCATTGTTAGAATGGCTACTTTGGAAAAAAAATACTCCTCCGGTCCTTATTATAAGACCCCATTTGACTTTTTATTTGGTCCTAATTATAAGACCCCAATCCATTTTGTCTCTTATATTTATGCATTTTTTTCCAAGATAATCCTTCTAATAATGATAGTTTTAGTCAATATACTTAATTAGTAAGGATATTTTAGGAATGAAAACACTTATTTATTATAAATAACCAACTTAACTTACTTCCTTAATCTCCTCAAATAAGTCAATTGGGTCTTATAATTAGGACCGGAGAAGTATATAAATATGAGAGATAAAGTGAATTGGGATCTTATATTTAGAATCAAAATATAAATCAAACAGAGTCTTATAAAAACCAGAGATAGTATATAATTAATATAGTTAAGTTCTCGTAGCTAGAAAGATAATGAAGGGCATGACAATGGAAGTTAGGGAGACAGGAGTGGAAGAAGCAAATGGGGAGCCCAGCGTTATGAGCGGCTATCTTATTAGCCATTGGAAGCACCATGGTGTTATGACAGACACATTGAAACGTTTCTATGGACATTTATCTGTTGGGCTTAGGCCCACTTCTGATTCATGTTTAGTCGGTTTATACGCCCACTAATTATTTTATTCCCTTTTTTTTTTCCTTTTTGGCCAACCAACTAATTATTTATTCGTTTATAATGTTTAGCTACAATTCAGCCTGACAATTTTATTGGAAAAAAGTGTTAATTTTGAATGTAGTATAGGTAATGTTCGTGAAAAATAAAAACTATATGCCGGTTTAATCTCTTTTTGTTTTGCTTCAAAACAATCTTTTATTTAAAAAGTACTTTAAAATGTGCTCTTGATTAGGCTGAATCTGAAGATGTAGGAGTAAGTGAATAAAGAGATAAGTATATAGTATATAATGGGAGAGTTTTAATTTAATTTATATAAAAATAATTTTTCCCGAGTGGTTTGAGGGTTACCAAAATATGATGGGGACGTGGCCTATTATCGTTCGGAGATAGCCAGGATTGTATGCTGTCGAGACTCGAGACTCAGCAGAATCACTGAATCACCCAAATTACAATGAGGCCCGTGACAACTCAACATTCGGCAGTCTGTCCCTCCCTTCTGACTGCCAACTGTTCTCCATTTTCGCAATATGTTTGGATGGAAATCAAAAGTAAAATCAAAATATTTAAAAAAAAAAAAAAACTGATTTTGGATATGCCAACCACCGCTTCGCTTTTCTGCTTTCTGACTCTCCCCTCCACTTTTGAATTCTTCTCCCTCTCGTCTTCTTTACTTCATTCCTCTCTTTGCCCCCACGTTTTACATTTTCACTGTTATCAACCCTCGTTTTTAAGTCATTTAGGGCCTGTTTGGGTATCCCAAAACCGTAGTTTCAGAAGTACTTTTTCGTAAAACGAGATAATCTCCTTCACATATTTACTTCGTAATCCGTAAAAGCACTTCTAAAACTATGGTTTGGTTTCTATCCAAACACACCCTTACCCATCACGCTTTACCCCAAAAAAAAATGTCAGATTTCTAACATATATTTTTCGTAATACTCGCATATTGTGGGGCTTTTAAATACTTAAAAACCACATACAATAATACAATGAACTTTCACCACACATTCAAATTCAAATTAAAATATCCGGCTTGAATTTCGAGTCAAAGGAATATTTATGGTCATACATAATGCATATAACGTGCTCTCACTTTTCCTTTTTCCTTTTTTTTTTTGTTTTTGGGTCTTGAAAGAGATACTTGAGGCTGGAAAGCATATAAACCTAACAAATAAAAACTAAAGAGATCCCACTTGATCGCTGCAATTTTCTTTTATGTTTTAATATATTTTTAATGGAATTATGAAAACTTGTAAATAAATTTAAAAATTACATAAAATTTATAATTATTATTTATTTGGTATACATAATTATTAACTTTCTTTTGGGAAAAAAATTAACAAACAAAGATAAAGCCACTAACATAACGTGGGCTGACAGGCAGGCCCCTCGAGTCGTGAGCCGTGAAGACTTGAGGCCGATTCAAAGACCCATCCCACAACCACTTCATGTTTGACCCGTTACTCATCAAAAGACAGAATTACCCTTCAGGCGCTCCCTTCGCACACCTCACTGGCCACTGCTGAGTTGGCAAGCACCCCAAATCATGGTTTGGGAAAAATGTTAGCCAAACACCCTTAAAAAAATCAAAATCATGGTTTGGGTTCAAAATCATGGTTTTGACTTCAAAATCATGGTTCTGAGAAAAACAGAAATTTTTTACTTTTGGAGGAAAAAGGAGAGAGTGTGAGAGCCTATAGGATATGTATCTTGTTGTTTTTTTATAAACATATTTTTATAAATATATTAATCTTATATCTTATAAATAATATACATATTAATTATTTATTAATTATATTATTTCTATAGATTATTAATATATGTTAATAAAAAATATATTATTAACAATTTTATTCCTTCAAATTAAAATATATCATAAAATATATTTTTTCTATAATTATCATATTAATTTATGCCAATTTGTATTATATAAAAGTACTTCTAATAATAACTATCCAAAACACTCACACTTCTCAAAATCACTTTTTACAAAATCTATTCTTTCCAAAATCTATTTTTTTCAAAATCTATTCTCCAGACGCTATTCTTCCAAACCATGATTTGGTTTCATCCAAACACACCCTTATGTTTTCCTGTGGATTTTTCAAAGGAAAACCATTACCTTTCGGGCCTTAAAGAATGGTTTTCCTTGTTGAAAAAGAAAAACTACTTTTAAATGTTATTACTGTATACTTGACATTGATTATTATATTTATAGTGTGGCATGTTGAAAGTCTCCGGAAAGTTATTGATAAAAGAGAAAGAAGCTGCACAACCGAGTAATCACGAAGCATGTTGATTTACAAATAAATTAAAAAAAAAAAAACGAATTGCCACTCTGACATCAAGTTATGGGCAAAGGAGTTTCCGAATGCACTTTAGACTTTATTATTTACTGTCTCTGATACTTGACTTTAAAATTAATTAAGCTAATTATTTATAATATATAAATGTTATTTTTTTAAAAAATATCTTTATTAATCGTGTGTATTAAAACAAAACCACTCTAACATGTGTAGTTAGTCACCAATGGTAATTATTTTAGAAAAAATAACCAATATAATAAACAAATGAATTAAGGTCTTATATGTGAGGTTAAATTAAATCGCTAACTAACACTTATACTGAAAATTAAATGTATTATCTCCTAAAGTTAGATTCTAATTATCAAATGGCATTTAAATTTCAAGCTCTTCATTCCCTTTTTTTACTACTAGTATTATAAACTCTAGACTTTTCGTTTCCGTTTTTTAAAAAGTTGACGCAAAAAAGGACTGCTTTCGTGATTTCAAATTTGGACTTCAAAGTTCAAATAAACCCATCCATCGCAAAGGGGTTAAAAAACTCGCCTATTCAATATAACTATATGTACTTTTCATGTAGGCTCTACATGATTAGACCCTGTTTCTTTCTCCTGCTTCAAACTAGCCTGGTAAGGCCTAAATCCTCACCCAAAAAAAAAAAAGGGGAAGAAAAGGTGAACCCAGCTATAAACTAAATTGTTTAATTATTCAATATTTTAAACTTGACCCCACCCTCGGAAACATGTCTTCATTTTATTAAATAATTTCCTTCCCCAGTTCTAGTGAAAAAGCGTTTCTTTCTCAGCCTCTGTGCTTTCTTTTTAGTTTTATAATTCATACAATCTTCTTTCTTTCTTCAATTATTTATTCCTTCTTCTTTCCCTGTGTGCAAGTCGTCCTAGAGTGTCCGGTGGGGGTGGTTACTCCTAAAAATTCCAAGACACAAGATAAACCATAGCTGGCAGGTTGTACCATCCTTTTGTAAGTTCAAACCCAACCGTTCATTCGGTAGAAAAACCAACAAGCAGACTACATTTTAATATGCACCTTATCGGAACAAAAAGTGATGACATCGTATGAAACCAAAGGAAACGACAAAAGATCAGACCCAAGCATGAATCCTATGGTTTCCCTTCAATCATGTGCAAACCCTCGCCAAAATTACAGCGTACAATCTATATTCATCATCTTATTCGGGATTCTCGGACCCAAACCTAAATCGAAAGAAAAGAAAGCCGCCATTGTTGTGATGTGGAAGTAAGCAGTCACCCTCATTCGTAGGGTTGGCAATGTGGAAGCTAGCTAGCTTGGCAGCGCGTAATGGTATCCTTAATCCAGCACGAGAGATACTCATGCGTGTACTGAACAACTTTCGTGCCATCCACTTTAAACTTTAAGCTATCTTCAATATTCAGCTTAACCAGAAGCTCTCTGTCTTTTCTTTTTAATTTTCTTTTCACACACAGAGAGCGTGGGATATGTTTGGCCCAGAGAATAATCTCCTAACTACCTCATCATTAGGATCATAAACTATGCATTTCTTTCGCCTTTAGAGGAGCGTTTCAGTAATAATTTAGGCACAAAGCTTTATAATAATCTTATCTGCTGCTTTATATTATGCAGGAACTTTGCTTTCTGGTGCCTCTTCCCTTAAAAGCTGTTGACTCCACTGCTGTTTCCCATTGTGGACTTTTTTGTATCTACCTTCTATAATCTATATATGGTTCTTTTTCTCCTCTCTTCCCCCTTTTTTTTTTTCTGGGTCCCCTTAAATTATGGGTTGGGATTTCTCAGACACTACTGAAATAAGCTACCGTGATATGGTTTTATTGTGGGATGAGTTTTTCAGTACAATGTGTGGCTAAAAAACAACAGCAAACTCAGGCGGGCCAACAACCAGAGTTAACTTATTTACTTGGCTTCACCAACCTCTGAAGTTTCTGGTTTATTAGTAGTGAATGCCTCTTTAGCCACCAAAAAAAAACCTTGAGATGTTTGCTTCTGTTTTTCATCCTTTCCCTACGTATAGACTACCAAAGAAAAAACAACTGACTTAGTTGATATTAATGTAAGCCAGATGCCATTATTACGAACAGCAACTCTATTATCTACAACAACTAGTTGGCCCATGTTACTTGTGCTATCGCCAATAACTGTAGGTGATGTAACTAGGAGTCAATAAATAAGCTGAGGCAATGTGTTGTGTCATTTAACACAGCCCCCTCAAGGGACAGCTTTCATTTAATGCTCTTCAGTACTATAATGAGACAGTTCGAAACGAAATTGGGGTAATTCTTATAACACCCTTTGTGTTATGCGCACAAAAGACCCACGTTTAGAATTGGACAAACAAGTTTTCCGGAGATAAAAAATTGAAGCTTTAAGTGGGAGGCATACTCGTGACATTATTGTCATTTTAACATTCACCCGATGGGCATTTGGGGTAAACAGTACTATCATATTAACCGTTGTAAAAGAGATACGGATGAACAAGAACAATCACTTACAACTGCTACCCATTTCCAATACACAGATTCTTCATTCTTCTGCTTCTCCGTCTTCTTCCTCTTCTTCCCATTCATTCATTCAAATGCCCAACGTCCAAAATCAACAATGTTATTTCTAAGAGAAGCGGTAAAAATATTGACAAACTCTTCGGAAAGCCAGAAAAAAAAAGTGCAGCATTCAAATCAAATACGAGTTTGATTATTGCTAGTCAATTACAGGAACGAACGAATATGGGATTGTGTGTGTATACATCAGTCTGATTGATGAGCGTTTCTGAGCTAGCAATCGTAGAACTCGACGAGCTCATCCAGAGATTCGGGTTGTGGGTCGGCGTTCTCGAGCATCCAGAGCAAATGTTCGAACAGGACAACCTCGCACGAGACGTTGATGGTGTCGTCGTCGGAGTCGCGGGACCTCTCCACCAGCTCTCGGAAGACAGGGTGGTCGACGACGTCAGAGGTGACGAAGTATCTTCTTCGGGACTTGCCGACGTAGACGGGGTGGTGATCAGACCTGCAGACGGAGGAGGATTCGTCGTCGGCGGCGACGGCGTTGATGCTGCTGGAGCGGCTCTGCTTGTTGCTGAATGAGTTCCATTTCTTGAGCACCGACTTGAGCTTCATCAGCTTCCCGCCTTTTGCCATTTGAGGTCAAAGAGATGCACCGGTAAGAGCTTGACGAAGCAGAGGAATGAAGGAGAGAGAGAGAATGCGGGAGGGAGGGAGCGAGCGAGAGTTTGGGGGAGTGAGAAAGGCGAAGGAAGGTTCGAATTTAAGGGGAGAACTAGGGGCAAATTGGTCAGATCAAGTTGAGGAAGACTCAAATGCAAATATGCAATTATGCCAATGTGCAATTTGCAAATGAGGGGCCAAACGATTTGTATGAATTAGATTTTTTTTTTTTACTGTATAAGATATAAATATCTTGAAAATTTTTATGGATTACATTTTTTGAAATTTTAAATTTTAGTTATTTTTCAAATATCACATTTATTTTTTAATGAAATGTATAAAAATATAAAGCGCCAGCTGTGAATAAAGTAAAAAAATAAATAAACCAAGACTATAAATAAGTTAAATACGCTTTTCCAATCATATATATGTCAAATTAATGGGGAAAAAATGATCGTCGACCACAAGAAGCATCATCAGATAGAAACTGCTTGGGCTGCTTGACATTCCTCGTCAAGCCGATATTAAAATACCCTTTAAAAAAAATAAGAGACCATCTGTCTTTACTTAAAAATAATGTTATCAATTTATATTACAAATTAACAATAAAAAAATAGAATAGGTTGTATAACGATAAAATACAATAATAAGGGTTATTCAGTTGTTCTATATTTTTCATGTTTAAATTAAAAATTACGCAGGGTGGGGGTATTATTCTTTGTTTGACTCCTTCAACTAAAAGGGACATAAGTAATCATGGCCGAGTTGACTTATGATTTTGTATAATGTATAGTTGAAAAAAAATGTCAAAACTTGTTATTCATGGGTGGATCGGAGGGTAGATCTTAATTAGTTCTTTCAAAAGTGATTTTTTTTTTTTTTTGGTTGGGTTGGGAATAGAAGTGGTAAAGACTAAAGAGGCTAAGCTAGGTAGCTGTAGACATTGAATTGTTTAGATTAGATAAAGTAGCTGAGAAGAATGTGAAGCAGTGAAAAAGGGCATTGAGTGTGAGCTTAGATAAATGATGGAAGTAACGAGCATGAGAGAAAGAAGCATTAAAAAGAGGGAAGGGAAGTGATTAAGATGAATGGCAATGCCTGTGTGCTCTGCTTTTTAGCCTTACAAAGGGCTCAGAAGTTGAAGCCCCACACACGTGCGCCCTTCAAACACAAAATCTATAGAAAGTATCAAAATCTTAACCAAAATCCAATCATCATTGCTGCCTCTCATTCATCCCATACATACATACATATATTTGGAAACAATGCCCGTGAGAAGCCTGCAAAGTGAGTTTTTATGCTGCATATCAACATCATCCACATAAATTACAAGTGCCAGCCTACACAGCGGTTCGTTTCTCTGATAAATTGTTCAAAGTAACAATTCAATCTTGTTATTGAAAGTCGATGAATTTCGCCGATCCATCCTGAAAGGAAGTGATACTAAGAATTGATAAAACCGAATGATGCTGAGAATTGAGAAGACACAATGTTTCTGTGGGATTATCAAAAATAAAAAAAGATTTTTTCAGTTCGCTTTGCTCCAACTCAATTTTAAACCTTCAAGAACCCACGGAACCTTTGCAGAAGTGAGTCCAGTTATACTCGCGCGCACATTGAATTATAGTGCCGTTTTTCCCTTGTTGGTGAAACTGAAACGACAACGGTTAAGATTGAGGCAGGAAAGCAGTATAAATTGCATATGTATGGCCTGATGCTGTTGAGGTGATATTATGTTGAGTTGGTAGTTCTAGGAATAAACAATGATTAAGCTGTGCGAGTTAAATAGGGATACATTGAATGTGATGGTTAAATAAAGACAAAGAGAGTCAAAGAGCACTTAAAAAGAGTACTGGGGAGGCGTCTTGCATTTTAGAAAGAGGTTTGAATTTGTGTGTAAAATGGATGGGTCAGGCCTCATGTTGCTGAGTCCTGACCTCCCAACCAAAGTAGTCGCGTCCTTGTCTTCATATAAAAACGCCCTTGTACACCTCTCCCCTAACGTGATCTTCCGCTAATTCAGGCTGTCCTTCCCCTCCCCCAAAACTCCCTGAGCAAAAATTTAGATAATTATAGTGCCGTTTTTCCCTTGTTGGTGAAACTGAAACGAAACACACGGTTAAGATTGAGGCAGGAAAGCAGTATAAATTGCATATGTATGGCCTGATGCTGTTGAGGTGATATTATGTTGAGTTGGTAGTTCTAGGAATAAACAATGATTAAGCTGTGCGAGTTAAATAGGGATACATTGAATGTGATGGTTAAAAAAAGACAAAGAGAGTCAAAGAGCACTTAAAAAGAGTACCGGGGAGGCGTCTTGCATTTTAGAAAGAGGTTTGAATTTGTGTGTAAAATGGATGGGTCAGGCCTCATGTTGCTGAGTCCTGACCTCCCAACCATAAAGTAGTCGCGTCCTTGTCTTCATATAAAAACGCCCTTGTACACCTCTCCCCCTAACGTGATCTTCCGCTAATTCAGGCTGTCCTTCCCCCTCCCCCCCCAAACCTCCCTGAGCAAAATTTAGATAAGTCCGGAGAGGCTCATCACTGTCATCAAGATCGCAGCACGGTTCATATTGAAAAAACTCATATAAAAATTTATAGATCGCCCACTAACAAATTCTCATATCTGTAACAGGATTCGAACTCATAATCTTATGGGCTATGAGCTAACTTCTTGCTAATTAGACCAACTCTTGGTTGTTGTTCCTTTCTTTTTATCTGTCCTCTTTTCCTTTTTAATTAATCATGCTATTATATACTACCTCTGGTCCTTAATATAAGACCCCGTTTGACTTTTTGTTTGGTCCTAATTATAAGACCCCAATCCATTTTGTCTTTCATATTTATGCATTTTTTTTCCAAGATAGTCCTTCTAATAATGATAGTTCTAGCCAATACACTTAATTAGCAAGGATATTTTAGGAATGACAACACTTATTTATTACAAATAACTAACTTAACTTACTTCCTTAATCTCCTCAAATAAGTCAACTGGGTCTTATAATTAGGACCGGAGGTAGTATATTTAAATTAAATACCATATCAAAATTAATATATATGCATGTATATACTGCCGGTCCTAATTATAAGATCTTGTTTATAGATTATAAATGAGGTTTTATAATTAAGAGCGGATGTAGTATATATTTTTTTTTCTTGACGTCTATGTAAATGTATTTTGTCGAGTCGTTTTTGTAAGATTTAAGCTTTTATCATTATTATTATTTGAATAACTCAAAAGAATTACAGAATTCAAATCTGAATAAAATAATAGATGAAAGAGGGGGGTGGGGGTCATACTCATCAACATCAAGCACGGTGTTGGCAGCGTGGGTTTATACTGGTTTGCGAAGGAGGTCACTGACAGGGACGTCCATGTGCAGCAGTAATATTCACAACCCCCCACATACGGACGGAACCCGTGCCTTATCTCATTCATTCCTACTCACCCTCTTCCCCTTTTTCTTTTGAAAAAAAAGGATCCAATTTGTTAGAGGAAGTGCATATGCATGACAATATATTGGAGCTCTTGTTGTTCTCTTATTTGCCTCCTGGGCATGGCATGCACCTCAAAACAAAAGGAAACATTAGTATTTATTTATCTAATTTTAAGAAAGAAGAAGGCCGCCTGAAAATTAGAGCTAAAATATTGTTGGATTTGGATTTAGGGAGGAGAGAGACACGCGTCGTTACGGGGGCAAAGCCATGTGCCCCGTCACCATGTCTCCCCCAAGTTGTCACCCCATTCATTTCTCTCATCTATTACCCTCTCAATGTGGGCAAACATGTCAATTCCCATCTCATGTTTTGCACGTTATCTCATGTTACCCCCTCTTTAGCTTAAAGTAGCTGTGTGTTCAATGTTACAAAAAGCTTTGTTTCCCCCGGGTTTCAAAAATCAATATCCATTAAAAAATATGTGCGCGCGTGTATATGTATGATTAAGGGATCCAAACAGATAGATAGATAGATGTTTACAATCAAAATATGATATGATTCGCGCATGATGTACGTGAATCCGCTGTACAAGTTATGCCCGACAGATGAAGCACATGGGGGGGTGGAGGAGGAAGGATCTTAATCCAACAATGATCCGTTTCATTCACTTGCCTCACTAATCCCATAATCAATCAATCAGTTTAAGGGTTTTTTTTTTAATATATAAATTATTTTGTGGGCTTGTCTTGATTTATATGCCCTATTCCTTGTATGCGGCCACACCTCATTTATCCTATCCCATTCCTCGTTTTGTTTCCTTCCACAAAAATATGTCACTTATCCTTCATTTCAAAAACACAAATTATGCAATCCTGTCTCGCTCATCCCCCAATTCTTATATCATGTTGCCTCCATTTCTTAATTATTTACTATGAGAATTAGATAACTAATTTATAACAATTAAAAAATTAGTTAAACTAATTATTTATAAAAATGTGTACTGATTCTTTTAAAATGTCCTCTTTAATTACCATTTGCAGTGAAGCTGTGGCCTTATAAAAATGCTCTTTCTGTGTGCATTTAATAGGATAGTTTGAAAAAAATGTTATAAATTTAAGAAATAAAACAAATTTATGTCTATGATAAAAATAAATTCTTCTTGATTCGCTTCATATTTAATGCCGGAAAGAGCGTTATTTTTTTTCCTAGACACATATATATCTTGTTAGGAAAATTCGTGCCCATAGACGGAATGTATTGTTGGCCTAAAATGGTTCATGACCCTCGCTTGAATTGGTTCCAGCTGTATGCCCCCCTGATTAATACGCACACCCTACTTTCGGTCATTAATATAAGACTTTGCTTGATTTTTTTTTTGATCCTAAATATAAAACCCCAATCCATTTTATCTCTAATATTTATCTATTTTTTTCAAAATAATTCTTTTAATAATGACAGTTTTAATAAACATATTTGATTAGCAAGGATATTTTAAAAAAAAACATATGTTTATTACAAATAACTAACTTAATTTATTTCTTTAATCTTTTTAAATTAGTCAACAATTCTTATAATTAGGACCCGAGGTAGTATATATATAT